AAACAAAAAAAAAAAATATCAGAATGGTAGATATTATGGTTGGACCTTCGACATGTATATAAATATGTTCAAGATGGACTGAAAAGTCATAGGTCTACAAGATCAAGAACAAAACAAACAGTCCAGACATGAGAAAACAAAAGAAAAAGAAAGCAAATTGTCAAAAAGAAAAAAAAATCTAAAAAAAAAGTGGGCTAACACGTGCCCAAAAAGTGAGCATTTTCCCCAATTCCCTTAAATCCATATCTTCCCCAATTCCCCCATTTTCCCTTGCTCAAATCAGATCTCCTCGCGCCGCCTCCTCCTCGCAGGGCCTTCCATGGGCCGTTGTTCGGCGCCTATGCCTCGGTGCGAGGCTTCATGGTTCTGAGGTGGGGTCGCTCGGCAGGCTACGACTCGCCTCTTTGGAGCTTGTCGGAGTTAAGTTCCTCTCCCCTTACTCGACCCTTCTAGTTTTGGTGATCTGAGCATTTGGTGAGTTTGTTGGGGCTTGTTGACTGTGTTGTGGGGTTTTGGTGGCCGGTTGGACTGATTGGGTGGTGGGTTGGTTGGTCTTTGGTGTGCTGCCAATGAGTGGGAACTGTCGGGGTCATTGGCCTTAGCTCCAAAGCAGTCCGTACAGGAGAAGACTCGGGTGGTCTGGTGCGGTTCCAGCTAGCCGTTGCTATACTAGAGTTTTGGTAGCAGTTCTGGGGCCTAGGGACGGATCTAGCAAATATAATGAGGGAGGGCCAAATTATTAGCGCAAAAGACAAATACAAAAACATACCTTCATAAACGTTCTTTACGATTTTTCATGGCCTGATATCGCTTGATAATAACATCATTACTAATGTTCAAGAAGGTTTTCTTTTTCGCATAAACTATGAGTCTATCATTTAACCAATCATCACTCATTTGATTGCTCAATCCTTAATAATGTTCATTGCGGAAAATACTCATTCCACACTAGCTGTTGCAACCGATAAAACCAACGCCAAAGTTAAAAGTTTGTAAACAAAAGGAAACACTTTGTGCTTCTTCGTCTGCACCAACTTCTCTGCAAGTTCACCGAGTCCTTTCAATTCTTTAAACAAAGTGTTGAAGCGCATATCAACAATATAGTTCTGCAACTGATCCTCAAGGATGAGAACATCGGATATAGAAAAGTTTTAAGGATAAAACCCGACCATCTTTACTAATTTTCCCTTTTCGAAAGCAGAAAAAGAATCTCGTGGAGATAAACAAGCAATAAAAAGTAGCAACTCTGTACTAGCCTCCGAGAAACGATCACGTAACTCTTGTAGTTGCAAATCAATCACGGCACATAATAAATCAACTCGATAATGATGCAAATTCGTTATTTTGGGTGCATTTCGAAGTGAACGACCGCGAGGATCAAAACGAATAAACATGCTAGTCATGTCAGAGATATCAATGAATGTTTCTCACAAAACTGACAAACCTCGTAAAATAATAACTCCCATCCACTATTTCTCAACTCTTGAAGTTGATATCTTCAAACTCTAACCAAATCCATTGCATTCACAATATCTTGGTCTCTCATTTGTAGTACTTGAGACAACTCATTCGATATTCCCAAGATGATTTTCATCATATGCAAATTTAGCACAAATTCAAAGCAATGAATCGACTTCAATGGTATTCCACCTCTACCTTTTGGATAGAAGTAGAATATTCATCCGCATAGATCACATCAAGCACATCACCCACGGGAGAAAATAAGGAAATCAAGCTAATCAAAGATCTATATTGCAAGCCCCAACGTGTATCACTGGGCCGTTGAAGACTAGTTTCTTGGTTTAGACCCCGTCCACTTGAAATCTCACCCCTTTCTAGTGCTCCATCAATATAGCTCATTTGTTTTTCATGAAGAAGATCACAATGTTTTGAAGAACCCCCAACAATAATTATCAATTGAGAAACTACCCGAAAAAAATCAGCAATTGGAAGATTCTTTGTAGCCACAGCTACAAAGGCTAGTTGAAGTTGATGAGCAAAACAATGCACATAATGGTCACTTGGATTCTCATTTAAAATAAGTGTTTTTAAACCATTAAGCCTACCTTGCATATTACTAGCCCCATCGTAACCTTGCCCTCGCGATCTAAATATGCTCAAATTATGTCTGGACAACATCTTGTCAATGGCATCTTTAAGAGAAATTGTCGTAGTACTTGTGACATGTTCAATTCCAATAAAATGTTCTTTTACATGTCCACAAGAATCTACATATCTCAAAATTTTTGACATCTGTTCTTTAGTCGATATGTCACGAGATTCATCAACTAAAATAGAGAAAAAAAAAAAATCCCTGACATCTTTTAATATCACATTAACGGTTTCAGCAGCACAAGCATAAGATAGATCTTTCAAAATGCAAGGAGCTGTTAACTTTCAATTTTTAGGAGCATTTTCCATTGTCACCGAAGCAATACCATCATTATGAGCTCTTAAAAACTCCAGAGTGACAAGAAAGTTACATGGATTAAGAGAATCCTTTGATTCATCATGACCCGGAAAGGTAGCCCCAGTCGCAACAAATGTCGTGCACAATCAAGAGATGCAGTGAGTCGAATGCGATAATCATCTCTCATTTGTTTAGACTGTTTTTCTAAAGCTGTTTGAATGTGCATATTTTGATTCATTAGTGCATCACAGTTCATGCGCGCTTGATTGTGTTCACTGTCATGTTTCTCGACATGAACATTGATATGGGATATTATATACTAGACCGGTTCGTCGGGACAGCCAACTAAATAGACCAGCGGCCTGGTCGAACCGGACCGAGAATCCGCAATGAAGGAAAGGAGGAAGACGACGGAGAAGAGCGAGTTTGGCGATATCAAACAAGTACCAGCTGCTCGAGGAGTTGGTCGAGGAAGAACGATCAGACGGGTGTGGTCGTGGACTCGACCACCGCATACCTCAGGGACAGCTCACTGTTCGCTAGAGATCAAGTCGATCATCAGAATAAATAAGAGAATCTCCAGCTCGTGGGAGGAGGACACGCGGCGCTTTACGAGTGGTCCACGGCGATAACGAACTCTGACATTCTCTGACATATTCGACGCGTTTTCTGACACCAGAGATAGTGGAGGCGCGCGGTTGTACGGACGAGCAGGAGGGCTGCCAGTCGGACTCGCCCAGGTCGCGTGTGTAGAACAGGTAACTCGCCCCTTGTTGAGTATAAATTTTGGGCATGTGGTAACCGAGCTACCCGACTCGGGTCGTTCTCAAAGGAAGGCTCTTCGGAGCTTCGTTCACTACCTAGTCGTCTAAGTCACACAACCGAAAAGGTCC